CTTTTCACGAGACAGATGCGAAAGTCTAGTCGCTAACTTCAAACACGCATTCTGTACACGTTTTTGAGTGCCTGATTCTTGCCTGAAGGAATGGTTAGCTCTGTCCGCATGGTATTCTAGATGAAGTCTTGCATAAGTAGGATCAAGAATCCCGAATATGTTTTCATTCGATCAATTGAAGGTCCCACGGGGTAAATATAGCTTGCAGAATGCCTAGGCTGCATACAATTTGCGGTGTTCCGTTGTTTCCAGGTTGTGGCTAGTGACAAGCCCTAGATGCTTTCGCCCCCCAAGGCAAGGCAAAAGAGGGCAAGAGAGTCATGTTACTTAGATAGATTACCATCGAATCACTGAGGGCAACACTTACCCCACCAGCTCACTACCACCTTCCTCTTATTTACTGCTTACCATCTTTTTGCTTGGAAACACCCACACTTACCCCTAATTTATTTATCACTTGAGTCCATGCCATCTACTTGTGCAACTTGGGAACGTCAGATATAACGTTTTCCATTTGCTTGGTGTTCCCATTCAGATACCTATGAGGAGGCGGATCATAGAAGACCCCTGATCGTCACATAAGCCCATAACTTCCTAACCAACTCAGCCTCCAACTTGCAAATGACAACCAACAAATAACACCTGTCTCACTAGAGCTAAAAGCAGAGAAGAGGTAGAGATTTCTTTCCCAACTACTGCAGTGAACCGAACAACCACTGTTAAGTCTGAAGGACTAGGTGCACTGACAACCTGTACTGTGGGAGATGAGCACACCATTGACGTCCAACGATGGAGGCAGTTATCAGCAAGGATGGGGTTAGGCGGGGTTGCAGCGGTGACGACTGGCAGGCTGTCACATCGCCCACACCAGTCTACCATGGCCTCCCCCGGACTGGTGGCTGTAAACTTCAAATCCACGGAAGTTCTAACTACAGCGCCAGAGATGTGGTGTAAAGCCAAGGGGACCATAGGCAGGGGTGTTCACCGCCGTGAAAGCAGATCCGGATGCTGCGACGACAGCAAGCAGCAGTTACCCTTCATGCTCGGGTTGCCATCACCCTGCACTGACAAGTTGAGAATCAGACCGCAACCGCCCGGCACTGACTGAACCAACAAGCCCGGGGAAAAACCTCACCGGGCCGGCTCCACTGGGACTTTCCGGTCACCATATACACACTTGTGCTAGTAGTTAATCCGGTGGTATCTCACGTCATGGGAAGCACCTCCACGTTTCTTTATAGCAGCATGAAAGGACTATGATGAAAAATGTTAAGGCTCCAGTCACTCTGTTTCCGCCGTGCTCCAAAAGTCATAATCCTGACAGAAACACGGTTATCGCCGGACATTAGCTGCACCGAAGTGAACATAGATGACTCGTTTTCGTTCAGCAGGGACAGGGAACATAAGGAGGGAGATGGGTTGTAATATACATAAACACTTGGTTCAAAAGTGGCCACTTCACTGTCAGAGACACTAGGTGTTTGGTTGGGGGAGTCTGTAGGTCCCCTAACAGCAACATAGGACACAACAAAAAGTCCCCCGAGAAATGTTTAAAGCATCGACCGTCAGGTGTGACTGGACCCTAATAGCTGATGACTTTAACGCTGTGACCCTCAGGGCGACTGAGTTGGAAGTTCGGTCGTAACCTGCTAAACACCATCCAGATGGGTGGGCTATAAGTAAAGATTGGCGATGGTACCCCCTGGGGTTGGGCCGTCAACCGTCTAAACTGGATCATCTACTGACTAGTGACAATCTATTGGTTGAAAATGTCCGGGTCCAGCCTCTTGCTGGAGGCAGCGATCACTCTATAGTAGTGTCCGACCTGATAGTCAACAAACAACCATCATAGGAGGCATCTCTCCCTTGCCTCTGTTGGGGCAAGGCAAACTACGAGGGAACGAACCAGTGTCTGTCGACGGCTTCGTAGCTAGAAGATTGGCGCTCTTTGTCGGGTGACCAGCACCGAGAGCTAGTAAGGGACATCGTTAAAGTGTTGATTTCTGTAGACGTCTCCTTAGTGGTAAAAGCACCACAAAGGTGGACCCCACGACTGGAACAAGGTACTGAGTGCATTCTGAAAGCCAAGAGAAAAATGTGGCATGAATGGAAGCTCTCCAGAGAAGAGGATAATCATGATGTATAAACAGCTCCACGAAACAGACAACGTTAGAGTGCTGGGAGACAGAGGTCGTCTCCTCTGGAAGCTTGAGATAAAGCCCAAAAACCTCTGCCGATTCATAGCGAAGAGAAAGTCTACAAGCCAAGGAGCGTGCGCCATTAGGGGTTCGAATGGGGAAAACTTTCCTGGGTAGGAGACCACGGAAATGTTAAGCACCACCCTTGACACAACTCAACATCCCATCACGCAACCACGTGTACCGACCACCTGGACAGCCCCTAAAGTTATCCGACGCTGCAGAGTTACGCGAACTGCAGATGGCTGGTGCTGTTGTTCCTACAAGAATAAATAAATACGTAAACATTTTACTATCATTTTGACTATACCAGATAGTCGTGGTTTGGGACTCTAGCACTGAAACTGGGTGATGATTGGTGGTGAAATGAAAGTTTGGACAGTCACCGCCTTGTGGTCTCTGGTTTGAATCCCAACGTGGTCCAAACATTCATTTTGTCTTCAGTCATCACCCAGTTTAAATATTTTATTCTTATATTATTACTTTAACGTGAGCTATCGGAGCTAAGTGCGGGAAAATCCCCGGGGTTGCAACAACATTTGCCCGCCCGTCTTGAAATAGTTCGCGATTGCCCTAAGTGGCCCGCCCATCTACCTTTTTCAGCACTCCTCAGAAGAACAGGGACTCCCGCGGGAGTGGAAGCGTGTTGTCCTCCCTCCTGTTTTCAAGGGAGGAGATAGGCGGAAGTCGAAATGTTACCAACTTATAGGACTTTTACCATTTACACCAAAGTTGTGGAAAGTGTGACAGGCAACCACATCGAGGAACACCTGGACACAGAGCGAGCACCCAGTGATACTCGGTATGGCCTTCGAAAGGGTAGGTCTTGCACTTCCAGGCTCCCCACAGCCCGTGACCACTGAGGGCCTGCTGGACCGCAGGATCCTGGTTCGTGCGATTTTTCTGGACCTCGCCAAAGCCTCTGACATGGTTTTGCACACCGTCATAATGCACAAAATAGCCGGGTTGGGTATCCGCTGCCCATCGCGGTCTTGGCTGCAGAACTGCCTGGACGGTAGAGTTCTTCACGGAAGTCGGCGGGGTCTATTCAACTTGGAAAACATCATCGTTCGTTACATCACGTGGAGCGATTCCGGGTCCATTGTTGTTCCTGCTATTCGTGGGTGACCTCCAACTGCATATCAGCTCTCCGATTCTCGCCTGCTCTGATAACGTCGGGCCGTGGAGGGCAGTGACGTGAGTAACGGAATCGAAGCACCACAGGACAGCCTTGGAGCACTCTAGGAGTGGGCGAGAAATAACAAAGCGGCATTTAGCCTGGATGGATGCCGGCCCGAGTTTTTCCCTACTCCCGATCCACACAAGGTATACTACTGTGTCTGTGGTTCAAACCTTCCTCCTACCACCGCAGAGAAAGACCTGGGCTTGAAGGTGATGAAGAAACTGTACATCAGCCCCAGAAGCCCGAGACGTGCCTCAAGTGCATGCGCAGTGCCACAATTCGTGCCTAGACAACTAGGTGCCCTCACCCTAGGGTTCCTTCTGAAACTCTACAAAACCGAAGTACGACCCCACTTGCAGGTCTGTGACGTACTTGGTCCGCCACACCCGCAAACCTCCTGAAAACAGTTCAGAGGAGAGCCGCCAAGGGTGTTATAGGGACGCATCGAAAACCATACGAGGACAGGCTTAAAGACCTAGGCCTCTACCTTTTTGATTACCGGAAGTTCTGAGGTGATTCGGTAGTGGCTTACAAAACATCGAATGACCCGAGTCACCCGAACAGGGGAATACCACCTAGGTGTCACCATGATAACCCTCGTGGAAACCCAAAGAGAACCGACCACCAGGGGTCGAAAACCAGCACGCGTTCACAGTTCTTCTCTCGTCCGGTCTGCGGGCACTGGAATGCGTTGCCAGAGGAGGTAGTCTCCGCCACAACTGTCAGCAGTTTCATGAAAAGGCGACCTACGGTTTACGTCCATTCAGCTGAAATACGAGCTAGACCAAAGAAATCAACTGCTATCACATTGATCTAACTCTGTTACCCACACACCAGTTCTCTCCCTACTCTAGCCATTTAAGTTCCTTCCATCCCTCTTACTCGCTATGAACTAGCCTCACTCACCTGAGCTCTGCTTATCTCCGCATCCGTCTCTTCCTACTTGGGTGTGCGTAGATTGCTCCAAACAATTGTCTTTCTAGGTTGTCTCTTCACTATCCCTAACTCTCTCTGACGACCAGTCCAAACAGCTGCCCGGTAACTCGACGTTTGAGGAACCCAACCACACCGCAGTCCCAGGTGAACTAACCAATACCCAACCACCTTTTGGGTACATTAGTGGTAGAGTAGGCGAGTATCTGGATCTACTACATCAGAATCCGCCAATGACCGGAGCCGTTCATCAGGACATGGAAGTGAGCACGAAGGACTTCACTCGTTTACACAAGCCTATTAAACAAAGATCGGATGTTGGAAATCAGAATCTACCAGTTTCCTATATCCGCACAGATGGTGTTTGATCGTTTGATATTCACTGAAAATGCCACAAACTACGAGTTCAAACTCCATCAATTAGTCCGAAAGAGTTTTTGGGCAACGTGGATATCACCTTCTGTATGTTATGATACAGAAAAAGACAACGGAATCAAACACAGGGAGCTTTCCTTCGAAAAGCATATGGTTTCAATAGTTGTATGACATTTATTGCTTTGCGTACTATTCCAGTTGTAAATTTGCAGCTAAAAAATCTTTCAAAATATGTTTTACTGATAATAGTGCAACTAAGAAACGGAAATGATCTCTCGATAATTTGTTTTTATGTGTAAGACTTGGAGTTGATGACCAGCTCTAGGTTGTCGCAACTTTCGACTATTTCACAAGTAATGAATTTTAAAATTGGTATATATTGTCATATGAAAGTAATGTTGACACCTCAATACACAAACTTGTCTCAAATTTAATAATGTTGTTAGAGTTCAGAATGTAGACAGGTCTCTGTTGTACACAGAAGCCTGGGCAACAGCTATAGAGCTTGTAAGTGTACTTATAAGTATACTGGGCTTTCAGTTTATAAACTAAAAGATGACTGGAGCTAAGGTAATGCACATGCTTTGGTCACTTCATAGAGCATTCAAGCGCTTTGATTAATATATTTTTATCACTATATAGTCCACTTACGTAAGGTCTTACTCAAGCATGCGTCCTTTATAAACCATGGTTTATAAAGGATGCGGACCTTCTAGAAAGGGTTCAAAGGGTAGCCACTCGTATGATCCCTGCAGTGGCTGGCCTCACCTATGAAGATCGACTTAAGGAGCTGAACCTCTTCACTCTATCCTATTGGAGACAGAGAGGAGACCTAATCATACTATACAATATCCAATATTGATAGTGCGTGCGTCTAGTTCTTAGGGCTTGGTTCGAGTTGTTCGGTTCACTCCTGCAGTGGACGAGGAAATCTCCTCTGCTTTATTACTTTTAGCCTCGGTGAGGTGGATGTTTTATGGGTTAGTAAGTTGTAATTTGTAGAGTGATTGGCAAGCTACGGGTTGCTGGGACGGTTAGGGGACTGTCGTGGCTCCTGTCTGTGTAGGTACCTAAAAGAGAATAGTAAGGTGGTGGTAAAGAAAGAAAATAAGAGAAAAAGAGAAAGGAAGGGAAAAAAAGGGGGGGGGGTAGAGGAGAGAAATAGAAGAGAGAAAAGTATGTGGGAGTTGTCCGAAAGGTAAAAGGAGATAGCGTAGGTCTATTTCCCAGAAAAGGGTTGCTAGGTAGTGTGGATGTATAAAGGAGCCAGATAGTGAGTGGTAGGTAGGAAGGGAGGTGAGGGTGGGCTAGTGAGGTTGGTGACTCCCTGAGTACGTCCGTGGTAGACCATGTGAGGTGAAATAATTGTCTAACCGTCCCTTGAATGAGTCTACTGAGGAGGCTATAACAATATGTCGCGGCAAGGCATTCCATAAAGCATATACTCTCATGGAGAAAAAAATGGACCTGAGTACGGTGTTGGCTCTCTGGTGTTCTATTCTAATGGGGTTTCCTCGTGAAGACCGCTGATTCGAAGGCAAAATTGATTTGTTTGCATGGTCTGCGTGATGGGCGATCTTGTAGGTCATAATAAGGTCATTCATCTTCTTACGATAACCCGAGGTGAATAGGATATGCCTTCCCCCTTAGCCCCACAACTGATTTTGCAGTTCCTTATATTTTTTCAGAGAGATTAGAGTTTGCCTTGAGTGTTGGGGGAGGGGCACCCAATTGAAGACCTCTAGATGCGACCGTACGTAGGATTCTAAGAGATGACTTCGGGCCAGATCTATCTTCTCTTTTCCTGTGCACTATGTCGGAATACTTCACATTGACATAGTAGGAGGCTACGACGGCAAAGAACGAGCGTACTGGTTCTCGCGTCGAGTAATCAACGCCTGGAATCGACTCAGAAGAAGTGGTGTTCACATCATAAATTGACTCCTTCTAAAGGGGATTGGAAAAACACAGAAGTTTACTGGAAAGGGGTTAATACAGGCTCTCAGCCTTCTATCCTCAAACAACAGATCTGAAAAAATCTGAACATTAGAAGGGATCCAATTAATTGCCCGTAGACTAGTGATAGGTCTTGCCTGTCTTCCATATAAAAGACCGTTAGCAGTTAAACATTTGCCGTTATCTCTCTCTAAGAAAAGTGGTAGTCTAACACTAAATCGAATAGATTAATTCCGTTTCACATTTGAAATAATAGTTTACTTATCGACCTATCTAACTTCTTTCCTCCGCTTAGGACTGATATTCTTAGAGTTCATCAAAAACAAATCCAAAGGTCACGGTGGAATCATATTCGGATGGAGTACCAGTTCCCTCACAGTGTAATAAGTGACGGGAACTCCGTATTAGAACAAATGGTAGCAGCTCCTTTGATGATCACCTTCAAAGAAAAACAGGATCTTATTAGAGATAATCAATGCAGGGATTAGCATAAGCTAATAAATTACTACTCTTTTCACTGAAAACTTACGTTATAAGCCTATCTGATAATAATTGGAACACTATAGCTGTAATCCAGGTAACCATAGGCGTAGCTTCCTTCGAAAACAAATTTAGCTTGTGGGTCAATACGTCATCATTGAATGGCTGGGAGGTGACCTAATGATGTACATTTCAACTATTTTATATCACCTACTTCACCATTTACTGAAGCAAACACAGAAGTCATAACCTGAACATATCTGGATGAACATCGGGGATAAATTTATTTCGTAGGAGTTGTTATCACGTAGGATGCTCTGTCTATAGAGTTTATTCAGGCTGCCATCGAAGACCTTCGAAGAAAGGACTCAATATCCACTCAGGATGACTGTATGAGGTTACAGAATAAGTTATAGATGAACTGTCTTTTTCTTCACTATCATATTGTAGACTTCACTTACCTGGGAAGTAGGATCAGCCCCGGTGGGTCAGTTGCTGATGAAATCTCGGCACGGGTACAAAAGACTCGATTGGCTTTTGCCAATTTACACCACCTATGGCGCTGCCGTGATATCCGTTTGTTTACTAAGGGTCGCATGTAGTGCACAACAGTATGGCTATGAAACATGGCCATTGAAGGTTGAGGACATGAGAAGGCTTCAAGTATTTGACCACCACCGCCTTCGTAGTATAGGCCGTATTCCGTGGTGTCACCACACCACGTGAGTAATGCAGAAGTCAGGTGCAGGGTTTTAGGGAGTGGAGGTAAATCAGTTGACGAGGTTATGAACCTTCATCGACTGAGATGGTTGGGACACGTACTGCGTTTGCCTAGTCACCGATTGTCTTGTCACACAATGTTGGTAGAAGTAAGCCCAGGCTGGAGAAAGGCTTGAGTTGGCCAGACTAAAACATGTCACCAATGCATGAAGTCTCTGACTGTTGGTTTGAGCTATATGCGGTGGCGATGTAGACTAGGTGGTTGGGGTCCGCGGGAAAAGAGGGACCAGTGGTTGGAGACTCATTCTAGGTGATATGGGTGAGAACTAATGTCAGTGGTACAGATGTATTTCCATACACATTATCCTCATCTTAACGATGCTTTACCGATTCTTACCATTTTGTCATTCTTCCTTTCTTTCTTCCCGTACTTTACATTCCTTTTGACTGGATTTTCTTATCTTCATCTTTCACCTCACTACCTTTCTACTTGATAAACTGACATAAGCTGTGGCAACTCGGACCGTTACTCAGTTATGCCTGGTCCTATGTTGATATTGGTGATGATGATGATGATGATGATTAATATTGTACACTTCAATTCTCAGGCACGGTGATCAGTAGTGTACTGCTTCTAGATGCGAGACCTGGTCTAGTGGAAGTTTCTTCTGTTCCTTAGCCATCATTTTAAAGCAAACAAAAACTAACTTAATAATGTGCCTATAAAAATTTGTGCATGTGATATAACGTATCCAGTCATTGCCAAGTTAAGGAACCGTCTCTAAAACCGATATTTTTTTTGGACCCAGCTCGTCGTTTTGATAAACTATTGTAAACTATAGTAATGATGGATAGTGGCTAGCAGTGGAATCCAAGATGCGCGTTTCGTCCCATTTGGGACTCGTCAGCTGGATGTACCTGCTTCCCGGTGAGTGATGTTGTTTCCATCGGGATTGGGACTCGGGAGCGATCGCTTCAAACGCCAGAGCGTTATCCATTACATCACCGAGCCACGATAGCCACTTACGCGACGTGTATAGTTTTTGGTATATATAGTTGTTTACGACGGTATGATATAAAAAAGCAATTATGTATATTATAAACGATTTTAGAATACTACATAATCCGGGAAATTGACCCCATTTCGCTCACACTACAATCGTAAGTTACTGATTAACCGGGAAACGATTTTTCTTACTTAACCTTTTTACGTGAGACTTATTTATTGGATTAAAGGGAACCGAATTCTCCTTGTGATCATGCTTGCTCTTCGAAAACCCCTAGTAGTAATTGCATACTGCTGACACGAGGGTTAGAGGCCATTTCTGAAGGATAAACTGGTAAGACAACAGGGAGTATCATACACTTGACCCTCCGTTTCCAACCTAAGGCCACTTACAGTACACTTCTGTATTTTTAGATGAAATGAGCATCAAGTTAACAAAAAGTAAACGTTATCCTTCCCAAAACCTCCAGTGTACCAAAAAGTTCAAAAAATGTAAAGTTGCAATCAAAGGTTTCCTCTCTCTTGTTTTGCCTTAAGTTTTGAAAATGCAACTAAATTAGATATCAACCATATTACCTTCCTGTTTTCTCTTTTACCTTCTATCTTCTCTGTTGGTCCAAAACAAGCAGAAATAAAAATGGGCTATTAAACAAGCTATTTTGAACTCTAGTCAGTCAGTCAGTCAGTCAGCTTCAATGTGAGACCTGACATTACTGCGCACCGGTTGAAATTACTATACCTCATGTCAGCACATCAAGCGAGAGAGCACAGATGAAGCATAGAGAAAGAAGGAAGAAAGTCAAAGCAATCGAAAATCATAGGGAAAGAACGAGAAGGAATAAAGCAGAAGTGAAATTTGGTATCACGATTAAGATGAATATAATATGTGCATATATCTGCACTATTGAGGTTGTTTTTGAGAGATATAACCTCGCGTATCCAAGCACAGATTTTGGTTGCTGCATGGAGCCCTGAGTGGAGGGAGTTTACATTTCCCTACACGGTTCAGATTAACAGTAACAGATTTGATGGACTGATGCCGGTTTAGTCTCTCAAATTTTGACGTTTTGCGAGCCTGAATCTACTAAAGCTGACATTGCATGACCAGGCAAATGGTGACTAAGCATCCGTGACACATGTCCGGATCATCTGAGGTTGACAAATGTTCACAACTTGGTCAACTGACTTACC